TGTTCCAGAATTCCATCACTTCTTTGCTAAGATTTAGCCATTACACACAAAATCCTTACAATTTATTACAGCCCGGAAATGAGCAGTGATTTCTGCAGTAAAATTAGTATTTTGGACCAATCAGTTTTAATTTTCTATCACAAAACCGCAAAATATTCATGCATTTTGATTAACGTTATTCAAAGAAGAATTCTATTTCTATATCTTACTTCGCCAGGAACACACGAAATTAGCCTCAAAAATATTCTTTTTCAGTTCCACGGGATAAAGAGCTGAATTGCTAAGATTTAGCCGTTACATACAAAATCCTTAAAATTTATTACAGACCAGAAATGAGCAGTGATTTCTGCAGCAAAATTAGTATTTTGGAGCAATCAGTCCTAATTTTTTATCACAAAACCCCAAAATATTCGTGCATTTTAATTAACGTTGTCTAAATAACACCTCTATTTTTATACCTTACTTCGCCAAAAATACACGAAATTAGCCTCAAAGCTATTCTTTTTCAGTTCCATGGGATAACTAGTTGAAATGACATGAAGTCAGAATTAACTCAGCAAAAGTTAAATTCAAATTTGAAATTTTCTCTCACACGATTTTTTGTTTTGTCTCTAAGCTTCCCTGGTTTTTTTGATGGGATTCTGTGAAATTATAACGAGTTGAACAATCATTCATTACGCAACCATCGCATTATTTCTTCATTTCAGCCGAGGATGATTCATAATTCGGGTTCTTTTTGAGTATAACCAGACCCTCCAGATACGGTGTTAGCGAGGTATCTGAAAACGAGGCCTTATTAAATAATAATTCAGTGAAGAATAATATAAGTAACGGCCATTTGAAGACCGATTCTGAAATGGACAGTCCAAGTGAGCGGCCGAAGTGGGTTAAACTGATAAAAATTTTTTTTGCTACCTATAGTAGGTCGAACCATGATTTCTGAAGTAACGGAGAGTTTGAACCGAGGAAAATACGATACCGCCGAAATCCTCAAATTTTAATGTGAGGTGGAAGAAATAAAAGGATTACAATGGGGAAGATAGTAAGGCTGTTAATGTGGTATAAACCGTAGGACATGTTGAAGAGTCAGGTAACATGACTCCAAAGGGGCTATGCGATCGCCCGTGAATTGACTCCGGGTGTTCTGATTCCGAAAGTTCTTGAAAACTCGCTGCTCCTGATAGGGCCTCTTCATTCAATTGGTAATTACTGGACAAAAATACGATGAGGAACACTGACAGATAAGCTTGTGGAGTCGAAAAAAACAGTTAATGCCACATAACATATTTCGACTTAGCACTTTTTTCTGTTTACTTCAAGTAGAAAAGCTGTTCGAGCAGCTGCATGTCATCTACGTCCGTTGTCACGCCATCGATGCAGCACTGGCAACTTCTCCATCTGATTCGTTGTTGCCCTCTCCGAGTCCACCCGATCCCACACAGGCGTACCATGGGGTCTTTCATGGACCACCTGCACGGTATCGCGTGGACTCGGAGAGCGCAACAAATAACAGGAGCGACAACAAATCAAAGGAACTATGAAAGAAAAGTTCAACTTTTTTCTAGAATAATGGGGAAAAAAAGAAATACCAGGATCAACACCGGTGGCATCGGCAGATGGCGTAACCTTAGACAGAGAACCAAGGAAAGGAAAGGTTTCTCTCTTACACATTTAACTTTTATCATTACTTTATCTGTCCCTTTTCAATAACATATTTAATTTAAATTAAAATAAAATTCACACTAATTTATACTAATTACCACAGTCGTCGTACTGACGAGGTCCAGTTGTGGTAATGGTAAGAAATGTATAAAACTTAATGGACCGAAAAATTTCTTACCATTAAAAATAATTTTCAATACATTTGAAATTTTATTAATTTCTTCTTTTTAACATTAAAATATTTTATTACTAGTGGTGACAAAAAGACGCGCTACTATGAACGGATAACGGGCCAAATTATCAAAAAAAGTGTCCAGAAATAGAAAAACTAACATTCTTCATTGGCAAGTTCTGCTCGTTCGCCGTAAGCCATGAGGACAGGAGTCGTGTGAGTTTGGAAACCCGTGATTGTTTTTGGTTTACCAGCCTGGGCAACTACATCAACCGCTTGTCCGACACGGACGCTTACGTTCACTTGTTTCAGTTTGTCCGGATCTGTTTCATCCTCAACCAAAGTTATTAGCAATCGTGGCTGTATAGCCAGAGCCATCGAATATATTAAATAGTGCTGACGATTATTCAACACACCTGAAAATTGAGCGAATAAAGAAAATAAACAGCAACGCGCACCAGACTAGCCGGTGCGATCATGCGTTTTGCGCAATTTAGCCCATCGAACGATCGCTTATTAATGATTTTCACTGCTTTGTACTTTAGTCTACGCAAAAATAGCTCAAACATTAGAAAACAGTTAAAAATTTCACGCAACAGCGTATGAAAACTGAATTCGAAACCTTGAAGGATGAATATCTTTCCGTGATTCCCGAGTTAATATTTAAAAATTTCACGCACCTGCGTATGAAAGCTGAATTCGAAATCTTGAAGGATGAATATCTTTCCGTGATTCCCGAGTTAATAGTTTACTCGCCAAAGTTTTCACTAGCCCGTAGGTGGTACCCGAGAGCGCGGGAATGCTGAATTTGAATGGGCAAGGTTGAGCGTGGACAGAGGGTCATTACTCTAAAATTTAAGCCTCCTAGACTCCGTGGTTCCCGAGGTATTAACTCACGCGTAAAAAACTTTCACAGGGCCGTACTTGTTACCCGCGGGTACGGGGAAGTTGAATTTAAATTTGCGGGATTACACGTGGGTGGGGAACGTTCCCCTAAATTTTCAGCTTCTTAGCTTTTGTAGTTCCTGAGTTGAAAGTTGCGGATAAGTTGCTGTGGACACACACACACACACACACAGACAACCCCGTGACAATATGCGCTTTGTACTGCTGTTACACAG